ATTTTAACATTCTTTTCACATGCAGAAAAAAATGAAGCACATTGGAGAGTCAGTCTAATTGAAAAGCATTTCAGGGTGATATGTTTACCACTTATTCACCAGCATTGGCAATCATAGCATGCATTCATAAACACATAGCTTGCGAGTGTCATTTGGATATGATATGATACATTTAATTATATTTTTGAAATTTAGATCTTTTTACGTTGAGGTTCCATTGGTTTACAGCACTTTATATGATTCAGAGGTACAGGACCACACCTCCTTAGATGCATGTCACTTCACCATACCCACCCCCAATGCATATTTAATCCTCCACCATGGTGTAATGTGGGAAACCTTAAAACCAATAAAGCCTTTGCTTTGTAACACATTTATAATACTACAAATCTAAGCTGTTGACTCACCTATGTGTAAAAAATGATGAGATCTGGTGAATCTCTATGCAGTGGATTAAGTAATTTCATTTTTTTTAAATTGAAGGTGGCATTTCTAAATATAAAACATTCATATCAAAGCATTCATTACTATAACAGTGATTGTTTTTCTGACTTTTGAGAGTTTGGATGGAGAGAGAGAGTTTGAAGACATAGTTGTTTCTTCCTCTCTGGAGATGGTGCTGAATTGTGTATTTCAAGGGTTTATTTTTACTGCATAATGTTTTCTATCTACTGTATATGTATTTGTGTGATTCTGGAATTTTAAATTTTCATGTTTTATATATTATATGTACTTGTAGAAAATATATAAATATTTGTATCATAATGGGATTTTTATATATTTTAATTTTCTTTCTCATATTTATGTACATGAGGGGATTTGACAATCGCTCTTTTCTGAATCACTTCCTGTTTATTGAGTAGATGGACCCTGAGGAGGTCCTAACAAATGGAAAAGGAGGAATATTACCCATGCAGTCAGTGCAGTTTGAAGAAACCCTCTAGTTTTTTTTTATTTTCTTACATCATTGTTCATCTTTGTACATTAATTGGCTTCTTCCCTTATGTGTAGTCCCCCTGGTTCTCCCACCACCACAGTGCCCATGAATCACCACAATCCCTTGTTCTTTTCCCTTCCCTGCTTTGACCCCTCTCCTGCCTCTTCCCCTGCTGTTTGCCTCAGATCTGTGGGTTGCCTGCGAGTTTTATCTTTTTTTGACCCTTTGTTTGATTTCCCTATATTCCTCCTATAAGTGAAACCACTGTATGTTTTTCCTTCTCCGTTTAATTTGTTTCGTTTAGCATAATCCCTTCTGGCTCTATCCATGCAGCCGCAAATGGCATGAGTTTGTCTTTTTTGATGACTGAGTAGTATTCCATTGTGTATATATACCATATCTTCTTGATCCACTCATGTGCTTTTGGGGATTTTTGTTGTTTCCATGTTTTGGCCGTTGTTAATAGTGCTACAGTAAACGTGAGTGCAGGTTTCCATTTGAATTAGTGTTTTTGTGTCATTTGGGTAGATTCCTGGACGTGGAATTGCTGGATCATATGGTAGATCCATTGCTAGTATTTTGAGTGTCCTCCACACAGCTTTCCATAGTGGCTGGACCAGTTGCATTCCTACCAGCAGTGTAAGAGGGGAAACTCTCTAGTTTCAAGACCCATCAGTGTTGTCACACAAATGTTGATTGTACAGCTGTGTACATGACACATTGTGAGTCATGCTCAGTTTCTAGGACTCTAAGGTTGCTCTAAGGTTTCTAGGACTCTTAAGGTTGCTCACCACCCACATCCCCAGAGACTGACATAAAGCGTATACACCCTGCAATATAGAGACATATAGAGAAAATTTTTAAAAAGTCAAATAAAGCCCTACACAATAGCACTGAGTATTGTTTTTGGGTGGTAACTGAGAAACCGTGAAAAATACTTCATATTAGTGAGGGTGAGGCCAGGAGGAGCTTGTCAGAATGTCAAGAAAAGCTTCACAAAGAGAGAGACTTTGAAGAAGGGAGTGGAGTCCTGAGTTTGCAGAGAGAGAAAATGTATCAGGTATAAAGTATGTAGACGTGAAGGTGGCTTATTGATGTTAGAATAAGGAGATTAAACAAAGAAGGCAAAGATTACATTTTCTTCCTAGGAGGGGGGTGCTAACAGAATGATTAGACTTCTCTCTGAGCTGCTTCCAGCAAAGGAACCTGTTGAATAGAAAAAGTAGCCCCAGCGAGGTTGTCAGGAATCAGTATAGCTGGATGAGAAAGATTCCACTGATACTATCCAGCCTCGTAGGATAGAGAGGAGGAGATCTTTGAGATGTGGAGAAAGATGGAAAGGCTTTAGAAAAGACCATAAAGTGGGGCCTCCCAGGTGGCGCAAGGGATTAAGACGCAACCTGTGAAGATGTCCACAGCCTCTGCAGCACGAGTTTGATCCCCTGCCAGGGAGCTACCCATGTGGTGCAGCAGACCTCTCCTGACTCACCCGCTGCTCCCCTCAGCAGTGTATTTCGTCAGTCTGCCTGTTCTGTTCCCCAGTCTGTCTCTGGTGAATTCTCTCACCCTCCACACCTTTGGCCTGTACCCCAGTTCTTGGATGCATAATAAATAAATCTTTTTAAAAAAAGACTGTAGGTACATTCAAGTAGCCTGAACCCCAAACAAGTAAGGGAGCAGCAAAAGCTCCAGAGAAAGAGCTGATGTGCATTCAGATGCTCCTTCTATTTTTCAGCAGAAGATACCCGAACTCACTTAAGTTGTGTTTTGAGGAGTTAATTCAGAAGAACTGCTAAAATGTTTCCCTTGCAATCAATTCTAGGCCACAGGGGATGATAGTGCCCCTCAAGCTGTAATTCACTTAGCCAAGTGAGGAGCTCCTACCCCAGGGCCTTGGCTCTTATCACAGCCAGGAACATGGCCGGGTCCCATCGGCTACTGCCCATTTCTAGGTGCCATGCAGCCAGTTTTTAGGACACAGTTTTCTAAATCATATCAGCATCTCTCTGAGGCATAGCAATCATTTAATCTGCCTGCAGAATTATGTTACTATGAAAAGTGATGTCTTAAAACCCATAAATTTGCAGTGTTAGAATGAGTCATTTTTGATCTCCTTTACAAGCTAAAAAGTACTCAGGCCTGTTGACAAAGCAAAGAAATGGTGTCAAAAATAATTTTAAAACCTTTTGACCTATAAGGTTTAAAAGAATTAGGCACAGATTCTTTGCTTTAAGCCTCTTGGTGACAAGAAATATGGTACTCTGCCAGACGGTTTGATTGACAGTAGCGTTTGTAGTTTCAGCTGCTAATACAGTATGCTTCTTGTATATTCTGAGTGGGTAAATATAGAAGATTATTTGTCACCTGGGTTGATGAATTACAAATAAGTAAGACAATGTGGGTAGGGTTCTAAAGCATAAATGAAAAGTCAAAAACCTTATATTATTTGTAATACCATACTTATGATTTAAGGGTTGTTATTCCTACTAAATCAATAGAAACAATTTGGTCTTACAATAAGCATGTTACTCCTTTTTAATCGTCTTTTTCCATTACATAGCTATTTGTTACAAGAATGCATCAATTAAGTGTACCCAAAGAACTGATTGGACCCAAGGACTTATTATAGATAGCTGGGTATATTTTTAAATATCATGATTCAAGTATCTTAAAATTTTTCCACTCATAGGACCTATGACTAATGACATGTTTCTCCACCCAAAGAAAGCTTGTTGTTTTCAGTACCTAATTAGTGTTCAAACTCGTTGTATGCGCTGACGCTCAGAACAGTGATGTTTCTGGAAAATCTTTCTTGGTCAATAGCCCTCTGATAATATTGACTTCTCTTTTTACAACATTTTGGATTTGCTAAAGTGTTACAAGTGGTATAACATAATTTCCAAATGATATCATGAATGCTTCTGTAATTAATATTTTCACAGAATCGTGCTTTTCAAGATGAAAAGATTATTAAGGTGATAATACTGAGTCTTTGGATTTAGAAAAGAAAATTTGCTTTGGAAAGCACATTATCACCTTTCAAGACAAGAAGCAAAATTGGCATTTTTAGCATGCTACCCTTATCTTTATTTGCTGATAAAGAAAGAATCCAGAGTTTTTCAAAACTTTAAATGAAAGGCTATGGCAAGGTTCACATCATCCAACCTCAAAAGAAAAGAAACTAAATGGATGGGAACAAAGTAGAAGCAAGAGCCTAGACTTTTTATTTGAGAACTTTTCAAACATATTGCTCTTCTAAACAAAACACAACAGATGACGCCTGCGTTTTCATCTACATGATGACTATAGAGTTACACTGAATTTCGTGACACACAAAAGTTAAAATTCTCTAGCTAGAGCTTCGTGCCACAATGCTATCATTGCTCAGTGGATATTCCTCTTTTTGAGTTGTTTTACCCTTTTGATGTCTATAGTTAAAAATCATTTATATTAAATGGGAAGAGACATCCTTGAATTCTTCCTCAATTCTTGCAACTTGTGGTTTAGTTTTAAAGAAGTCTGTAGAGGCAAAGATTCCCTTCTTCTTGAATCTCTATCAGGAGGTATTTGCAACTCAGTAACTACTGCCTGTTTGTGTTTGAGATAGTTGGCTGACATTTTGTAAGTAAATTATAACTGAAAACCTGTATATTGATACAGGACTTAAAAAGTCAATGGTATTTAAATTTGGGCTTGTATCAGTAGTATGTATTGGGTAAAATAAAACAATTCAGACTCCTTTGTGTGATTTTATCTTTTATTTATAAACTGCTTTTATGTGCTACACAAGTTTGTTTGTATTCTTGTCACACAGCATAGCACCAGAATCCAGACAGAAGTAGTTAATTGCTCCACTTCTTGAATATCAGTTTGTTCTCTCACCTGTTCAGAGAATTGGTAGATTAGTTTCCAAGTTTAAGTGGGATGGCTGACCCTAATGTGCTATCCTTCTTGTTAAAACTTGAAACCAGAGGCTGTGTGTTGTTTTCTGGGATTTCAAGCAAATGAGACAAACCAGTAGAGCTAGTAAAACTCAGGTGATTTTTTAAATTTTGTTTTCCAGAAACAATCAGCCATTGGATGTTAGAGTTTTAAATATCATCCAGTGCTGTCTCCTCAATTTGTGGAAGAAGAAATGCAAGTGTGAGGTAAGGAAGTATTGCAACAAAGGTCACTAGTGAGTCGCTAATGGCACCCAGGAGCAGTTCTGCTTCTAATACAGAGTTTGGTTTTTCAAGGACCTGGGTGATTTCACCTAGAATTTCCTGGAATCGTATAGTCAAGATTTCCTGATATTTTTCACAGAAATACTGTACCCTGTGTTGCTTACAGATGTTACTTTTTGGATTTTTTTTTTAAAGTAGAAAATAAACTTTTAATTAAAATAATCAAATTGTAGCCCTTTAACAGACAGAGCAGTTGACACCGAAGAAGCCACCCAGTCTTTGCTCTTGGCACCTTTACGGTATAGAAAGTGGAGGGAGTCAGGGGTGTTTCTGCTTTAAACTTTGAAGATTTTATAGTAAATAAAATATTTCTTCTCTTATTTTTGCCCGTGGGGCATGCCATTAAGAAGATAAGAACTGATGAAGTCTCACATCTAAATAGAGCTCATTGTCTTAATAATTTGAAGGTGTTTAAGCACTGTTTAATGATTTCCAACCATTTCACATCTCTCTTAGAAACAGCCTCAATAGCTTACACCACTCTGGGGGCAAAAGCCTACAGAATGGACTTTTCCAACTTAGATAAAGATTTCACCATCCAGAAATCCAGGCTCTGGAGCACAAAGCCAATTAGCTGTGTGAGGCACAGACCAGATTGAGCACCAAGTGAGGCAAGAGTGTCTGCTAGTACATGCTGCTATTAGTGCTTCTTGAAAATGTGGGTAGAAAGTCTCATTATTTTATGCTTGGGTGTTTTTTTTTTTTTTTGCTTAGATGCATTATTTATTAAAATATTATGAAATACAAAATACTGTTATACAACTACAGTTGTTATGTATTATCTTAAAATATGCTCTGGTAGGGTTAAAGTCTTCACTTGGGGTCAGAGGTCAGTCTGTGAGCCGCCTGTGTGTCTTGATTCCTAAGCTAATAGGTCTCTTTCCTAAGTTCCAGGTTTCGGTACATTTTATTTATTTAAAGATTTATTTTTGCATAGAAGAACTGGGGTGTAGACCAGAGGTGTGGGGTGATGAGAGGATTCACCAGAGACAGAGTGGGGAGCAGAACAGGGGGTTGACTGAAATATACTGCTGAGGGGAGCAGCAGGCAACGCAAGAGAGGTCTGCTGGGCAATGTGGTCCAGCTCTCTTTTTGCGTTGATACCTGAGACTTAACCCCTATGCCACCAGGGAGGCCCTTAAGTACATTTTATGACACATACAGAAATAAGGCATTTCCAGAGAGCTTGAGAATGAGAAGACACTATGTGGAATGTTAATATGGGCATGAATAGGAATCTGATATCTTTCCAGGGGGTTGATGCTAAATTCACGGGTGTACATTAGCATTGACAGTAACCCTGGCATTATGAATGTTGTTCTAATGGGTGAGACCTAGACTTTCGGTAGTTTTGGGATGCAGCATCCACAGATTCTGAATTATAATGCCATGCACTTAAAACATACATAGCGCTACACACCCATATTCTCTCTCTAAAAATGTGTTAAAATTGCTTCTATGTGTGAGGATAACTGTCGTACATTTCCAGCCAGCTTTTGAAAGTACAGTTGTATGAAGTGGCCCATGTGTGACGTTTTGATTTTTGGCTTGAGAATTATTTTAGGGGAACAGAGCAATTCAACCACTGAATTACTAGACATATTCAGTACTCTTCTTGCAAAATCTAAATAGTCAGAAATAGATTCATTGTCTTACATAGTAGGGGACTAGTAAACAGTGCTAAAATTAGTGAATGAATCAAAAGCAGAGCACAGTTAGAAGCCTATTTAAATTCATTTTAAACAAGTGTATACTTCCTGCTTTTCATTAGTAGCATTTAATGGAATAATTCATGTCAACTAATTGAAGTCTATGTTGTGCGATAAATATTTACACCAGTACAAGAAAACCTAGTTGATTATTGACTAGAAAGTCAAGTTGGCACTGGTTGATTTCAGTGTATCTTTGTCCCGGGTGATGTGCTGTGCACATGACGTTGTTCTAGGTAAAGAAAGTTAAGGGGCTTGTGTTTTTCAAACCTCTGCAATATAAGGCACTGTGAAGGTGCCTTTCAGAAGGCACTACATTTAAACCTCAGAGAATAGTCCTATGATACAGACAATTTTATGATGAAGTACATTTTAGGGTTGAGGAAGTGAAAGCAAAAATAAGTAACTTTTACAAGACTGTATTCAGAGCCAGACTTCTTATTCCAACGTCCCTTCTCTTTCTACTCGATGCCATGGCTAGTTGTTGCTACTCGCTCCCCAGTAAACACCATGAAGGAATCATCACAGACTTTAGAGTGGGCTCATCCTTTTATAAACTGCTGGATAGTAAGGTCCTTTCAGCGACACTTTGATTAATGAACACTCTGGGAACAAAATGCTTTCATAACAATAACATGTTTTTAAAAACCCTCCTTGAATATTTTGAAGTGTGACAGCAGAAATTGCAGCTGTGTAGGACAAAAATACCTCACTGCTCAATGTCTATGTGCCTTTGCCCAGCTGAAGAGAAACAGAGCCAACTATGAATAGAGCTGAGTGCCTTTGGGAGTTATTTTCCTCTTTGAATCTACCCCGTGTTGAGTGGCTACTTTGTACTAGTGAGTGTGTCAGGTACTTTGCATTCATTAAAAAAAGTGGTCTAGCTTTATTATCTCCTGTTTTCACCTTGTCCATCCTTACTTTTTGTCCCTCCCGGCTCTGCACCAGGCTGCTTTTCTTTCCACGACTGTGTCAGGGGAGCATCTGCTACCAGGTAATTGTATGTATAGACTGCGTGACAATCGTTCTTCATTTTGAAGATACTTTTTGGTGTGACTGCAGCCAGCACATGCATTTTTCAGCCCCCCCAGAATTACTGGTGAACATGTAAAAAGGCATATTTCTGGGCACCCCCTTTATATTTTGAGCTTTTACATTTGTGCTGAGCATCCTTGTCTCCTTGTCTCTTCTTGGGAAACAGTATCTGGAGAACATAATGGGGATATTCTGTGGAACAGAAGCAAGTCATGGTTCATGCTTTGCGTAGGCTTTCCATGGACACATGTGCATTCTTCTGCTTCCCTTGTCTATTCTTTTGTTAGTTTGTTTTCTGGAAACAGTGGATTAAGAAGCCTTTTCTTTTAAAAGAGCTCACAGTCTACTGGGGAGACCTGTGCATTATTCAAGTTAACAGCATCACCCTTAGCCCAGGCAAGAGAGGCTCCTGGCCTCTTTTCGAAAGTCTCACTCTGGTCTCTCAATTGAGCAACTGAAGAAGTCACAGGAGATTTTCTGGAGTAGGGTTTCAACTTCAAGGGGGTTGAGGAGTGAGTAGGAGATCAGGTCTGGAGACTGTACCTCTAAGACTTCAGTTAGTCTAAAAAGCTAAACTGAAAATATGAGGAGAAAGATTGTACTGTGCTCTGAAGGAGTCTAAGAATCAAATGAGTTCTAGCTACCTGTCTTTCTGTCCAGCCAGCCAGCCAGCCAGCCAGCTAGCCACTCACCACCTGTCCATCTGTCTATATCCAGTCTATCTTTAAATGGAGAGAGACTTGGACTTGCTTGCATTGGCCCATGACAGTAAGATCTCAGGGAGATGAGGGGCAGGTACAATTCTAGAGCCTGCAGAGGGCTACTTTCCCGGTGGCCTCAGAGGCAGTGAGGTGAAGATGGGCCAAGTAAATGCGTTGGTAGCTGGTGTGTCAGGCACTGCTCAGGGGAGACATTATGAACGTAGTCAGTGGCAGGTATCACTCTGGGGTGATTTGCTCAGAGGCCCTCTCTCCTCTGCACATCACTGACTTGAGTTTGCTGCTCTGCTGGGAGGCACCACGGAAGTCAGCAGGCGCAGGAAATGGAATGCTCTGGAGGCAAGAACGTAGATGAAACTGAGTTGAGTATCTCGGGGAAGTCTTTGAAGTCAGTATAGGGCTGAAATTGGAATTAAAAATTATTCAATTTAAAAAAGTCTAGAAATTTCAAATGGGGAATAAAATGTACAGGTTTCCTAGGCTAAAATTCTGAGGAAGACTGAAAAAAAAGAGAAAGGTCTCATTAATCTCCTTTGTACTTTATGTCATTGAATTTTTATTATTAATCTATTTAGTAAGACTTAATAATCTGGCTAAGATAATTAACAATCTGTAATTGCTTATTAATAAATCAGTTTAATAAATTATTAACCTCTTTAATGAAATTAAATACTTAATTCCACAAATCAATTATTAATTTATTGCTACTGAATGTCGCTGATAATATTAGTGTTTCCCTGAGATCTTCTTAAAGCATCCTTTTTATGTTTTAGTATTTCTACTGGAAATAGTGAGCGATATAGCATAGAAGACCTGATTTAATTTCTTCTAGTTGTATAATGTTGAACAAGCCACTTTCGGGACTCAGTGTCCTGTTTTACAAGAGGGGAATAATGCCTGTCTCTAGTGTGAGTGATGATCAGATGAAGGTACATGTACATTTTTGGTAAGTCACCAAGGGCCAGGCAAAACGTAATTGTTGTGGTTGTTTCATTAGTACTTGAGGATGTTGGAAATAGCGAAGTTTTGGTGTCTGTCTAGAATATCTCACAGCATTTGCTTGTCTTGTCCATTAGTCTGTTGCCTAATGTGTTTACATATTAAACAAAACTTAAAGCTTAAAAATACAGTTCAGTGAACTGTTCATTTATTGTATTTATAAACATAAAATTGTGGCTATTTGTGCAATGAAAATACTTTGTCTCTGGTTAAAAATCATTTTGAAGTTCATAGTTGAAATATTTAGTTGGCTATTTTTTAGTACATTCTTAAGAAAGATTTTATTTATTTATGCATACAAGAACTGGGGTACAGGCCAGAGGTGTGTGTGGGGGAAAGGATTCACCAGAGACAGAGCGGGGAACAGAACAGGCAGATTGACTGAAATACACTGCTGAGGGGAGCAGCGGGTGAGTCAGGATTGAACTCCGTGCTGCGGTGGCTGTGGATAGCTTCATAG